AAAGGTGCCCAGAATATCAAACTTAAGAACTCTAAGTCACTACCTCAATGTACTCAGCACTGCAGTCAATGGAGTAATACAGCTGACTTTGCAGCTTTGAAGGGAATCAATAAAAATCACTCTCTCTCTCCTTTTGCTTTCATCACTAATCATTGTCACCATGCATTGACCTCACACAAGGGGTGGCCCCAAATTACCTAAAATACTCATTAAATTTGAAGTAAATACCTTTCAAATTTGAACTATACTGCAATCATACTTTCATAAGAGTGTCTAAGCATTCACAACAAGCTGTAGGAAAAAACGAGTGTCTTTTTCAAGATAACTTATAGAGCAGGGAGTGTCCGTACGAGTTTGGCAAAGAGATAAAAAACATACGTGAAATAGAGCAATCTTAAGACAGCATGTTCATATCACATTCACTAGCACAATGCAAGACTCGTATGTAATTACCAGCTGGGAAGCAACTAAGAAATGACATATATATGGTCAGCTGCATTCTCTTGAATATTGCTTGGGGCAGGTAATATTGAATACAAGAATTCGAATATCAAATCTGTTCCCCAAAACATCTCATTCTGAAAACAAGAGTGGTATTTCTTTGAGTGTATCTTGCATTACTTTCAAATAACCGCAAATAAGGAAAATTTCACACAAAAATACTTCAATTGGATGCACTCATGACTGTTGAATGTAAGCATCTGCTAATAACTATCACATAATTATGGCAGGTGCTTATCTGAAACAGAGTTCGTTTGCATCACATGTCAAGCAGGTTGCCGCTTTATAATGCTTCATGCTGCAGAAAAAACAGGTTGCTAATCAAGTAGCTAATATGGCAAGGGAAGATCATTCCTCGTTTATCGTCGAGGATACAGGAATAAGAAATCACGGTGAAATTTTGCACATGGATTTAAAACCTTTAGGACCACAGGAACCCCTCTTGCTCTAGAGACATTGCCACACTTGCAAGTGCCTTGATTGATTGATGATCATTTTATGTGAGAAATAAAGTTAAATTATTTCACGAGGCTAATTACATCTAAAATTTTACAGCCTGCCCTTAATTTGCTTGTTTTATTTTGTTATTTGGAATAACATGGCATAAATGGAGAGTATATTGTTTGCATCTGTTTCCATGAGATTTGAATTCAATGAATCATACAAAGACATAGACTTGAAGCATAGAGAGCAAGTGAAACATAGCAAGAGAAAAGAAGACAAATGCATTGGTGTTATGATTAGCTTCTAACGATACCTAACAAAAGTACAGTTGGGTTTTAACAAGATATTGATCATGGTGAAATTTGAACCGGTGTTTATCATATTATTTTCTTCATTATAGGACACAATAACTTATTTCACTAATGTGTTCATCTTTGGGGACTCATTTTCAATTTGCTATGAATCTCATGTCTCACTGTTTGATTTCATTCACTGTCAGGAAAATGACCTTCACAATCACGATCCAAACCCTGGTTTGATTACCAATGACAGAAAATCCAATTGTAGACAGTACAAGCGCAAAACATGAACTCAACCTGCCAAGCACTTGTTTTTCTTTTAAGAAAATGAACAAAGTTGTGAGAAATCAAATATGCCCAAAATGACCAAAAATAGAACCACTGTGCCAAAATGCCATGTATTAGTATACCACATGCTATGGGAGACAAATAAGTATTAGAAAAAGAGATAATTAGAATAAGTTCACCGGGGAAGCTTGCGCCTTGCATTTATAATTTTTTTTCATGAAATCTCCAATTTTCTCAGCACTATCAAGCATACTCTTCAGTTTGACCTCCTCCAAAAGCATATGACATGTTTGATATTTCGGTACTATATCTTTACTGATCATTTCCTCAAACAGATGGTAAGCCCACTCGCATTTGTTTGCTCTGCAAAGGCCATGAATTAAAAGAGCATAGGCTGATCTATCAAGACTTAGTTGATGCTTTTTCACCATGTCATCCAATAATTGACTCAACAAGTTCATGTCTCCAGTTCTAAGGCATGACTTAAGCAATGGGTAGAATGTCTGACCATCAAGTTTGAAAAGTGCTGATGTTTCCATCTCCCTGAGAAGACTAAGGCCCTTTGATACATGACCATGATAACAGAGCATAGCAATCATGGAATTATAAGTAGATGTATCACGGGAGACCCCGGCATTTGGCATCTCCTTCTCAAAAACATCAATAGCCTCCTGAAATCGGCCAGCTCTCCCTAATATATAAATCAAAGAATTGAAAAAAGGTGTATCAGGTTTACATCCGGCTGACTTCATTCTCTGATTTAGTTGTAAAGCCTCCTCGATATTCTGTGACTTGGCCAGAAAAACAATGATGGTGGTGTAAGTAACAACATTTGGTGGGCACCCTTGCGCTTCCATTTCATCAAGGAGCTCATAGACCTTAGAAAAATTGTATTGGCGGCAATAGAATAGGATGATGGTTGAGTAGCTGATTACACAAGGTCGAAAAGCATGCCCTTTCATCTCTTGGAGAGTCCAGTGTGCTTCATCAACTAGATTGGCTTTACACCAACCATGAATAAAAATGTTAAATGTGTAAGCATTAGGCAAAATGTGTGATTTAAGCTCCAAGAAGATAGGGCGGGCCTGCTCAACTTTGCCCTCCTTGCAAAGCGTGTCGAGCAACAAGTTCATAGACTCCGTATTCTTCTCCAAACCAAATGTTCCTAACTCGTCAAACATCCTCACAGCATCTTCCCATTTTCCTGCCCCCGAAAACCTTCTCATAGCCTTACCCACAGTGTTAAGTGTAACTAGATGATTTCGATTCATTTCCTCTAATAACTCCCTCATTTGATCCATTTGTTTCATTTTCCCCAGAATGTCCACCATCATTTCATATGCCTCGGGTCTATGCTTGTAGCCAGGGCGTAATCCAGCCCATCTAAAAATACCCAAAGCAGATTTCCAATCATCCTTAAAGCGGAGGAGTAATTTGTCAACAAGATCATTAGAAACCTCAATGTTATGGCACACTTGTTCGTGCGCCAAAGACAGAAGAATCTCATCAGGACTGCTTCCTACACGAGCTTTGGCAGCTACTAAGTTCACAGTCGACTGATTTCTAGAGTCTAGACAGTTATCTTGGTAATCTAATACAGTCGTGCTTGTAAGCACGGAAGGTAATTGAGGAGAAACGCACGAAGAAGAAGAAGAAGATGAGACAGCAAGAGAGCAATAATCAGCACGACTAAAAACTACACGGGCGTTTCTAAGACAGCCTCGTAGAACTTGTACCCTGTTCATTGGTCTTGATTTTTAATAAAATTACGACCACTAAAAACAAGTAGAAGAGAATGGGTACCCGAAAAATTGAAGAGCTGAACCGCCAGCAACACCTGAGCTAGTTTCTGCAGGGAAACTCCGCCGCTGGTCTGTGCTGTTAGATGATGATGCTACTCGGCTGCAGTTTTACCTTCGGCGAGCAAAGGCTTGGGGTTTCAGAAGTTAAAAAGACCCCCAACAATTTCCGGGTAAGGTTGGGCTGAATGAGGCCTTGTTATGATTTGATTTGGGCACGGCTCATCATTATTGGGCGCGGTACGTTTTTTTGTTTTTAAATGTCTGTATGTTTTTAAATTTAAAAAATATTTTTAAAAAAATTTAATTTTTTTATTTTTTCACTTTAAAATTATTTTTTTGGTGATTTTTTATTTTTTCTGATGTATTAATTTCAAAAATAATTTCAAAAAAAATATTATTTAGATACATTTAAAAATAAAAAATAAAACAACTTAAAAAATAATAATCACATAAATACTAAACAAACTCATAATATAAAAATACAAATTAAAATTTCAAATTTAACCAAATTCTAGGATAAATTTTATAATTGTATTATTGCCAATTTTGTAATAGGTCCTTTGATTTGAATAAACATAAAATCATGGAGGCGAAATTTATTGTTTAAGTTTGAATTAACTGTTGATTTACTTCCTTTTAAGTTTTATTGCTTTTAATTTTCTTCTTTTTAGGGTAGCACTGTGATTTATTTATTTATTTTCTTGACCAATTTGGTTGGATTTAATATGGAGACTTGAAAAAAAAATCAGCTATTTAACTAATTGAGAAAACAAAATAAGTAATTGAATAAATTCTAAAAAGAAAGTATTGATTTACCAAATTAAAAACACAAATAGAAAGGAATAATGGGGTAAAATTAGGGCTGATAAAATTCTCATGAGTAATTAAGTCGTAAGTCATTCATTTAATTTAAAAAAGGGGTTAAGAAAACTAGCATCATTAAAGGGATGTTTGTAAATTTAAACTTTTTATTTGAAAATATATTAAAATAAAATTATAATTTAAAATTAGATTTTAATAAAAAAAACATGATCATTATAACATTTCTAGAAAACATAGATTTTTAAGTAAACATTATTTCGAAAACATGTGTGACGTGTGAAATGATATTTCTAAAAAAATAATTTTTAATTTTTTTATATTTTTAAGGTGTTAATATGATAAGATAAAAATAATATTTTTTTTTAATTTTTTTAATATATTTCCAGTTGCTTATATTTGAATAGATTTTAAAAATACATTTAATTTAATGAATTTATTTTATATTTATCTTTTTAATTTTTTAATAAATTTAGTATGTTTAATATCAAAATAAAATAAAAATTTATTTTAATATATTTTAAAATAAAAATATTTTTAAAATCACTACTCGATACAAGTTCAAAGACCCTGATGTTACAAGATCTGCATGAATTGTGGCTACTTTTTTTTTTCTTTTTTTGATATATTATATGAAAATTATTTCAAAATATCTAAAATTATATCAATTTAATACATAATTTATTTATTTTTTTGGAAAAAAAAAAACTAAAAAGCAAATTGAATAGGGGTCGAAATGCAACTCTATATAAACCCTAAACCCAATGCTAGCCGGTTCTCCCATAAATGTACTGAGATGCAACAAAATTTATAGCTATGCCAAACTATAGAATTAATCCGACATAAATTGAGATCAACTTGCTATTCAACATTTATTTTGAACTAGGAAATAAACAAAAATAAGACAAAAATTGACCAATTTTTGCATCCTTCTTATCATGATCGAAGCATCCCATGGCATCCCCAGGATGAGAAAGCAAACCAGTGGTAGAGGAGAGAGAGGGGGGAAATATAAAGGATAAACAAGATAAAACTGTAGTACATCCCTAGCTTAATGTCCAAAACAAAAATCAGAGTCAATTGTTTATTTTAAGATCCAAACTTCGCACATCATCCAACACCTTGTGCTCATAAACCACAAAATCGAAAAAAAAGCGCCTCAACTCATCATCCATGCTTCAGCTTCAGCTTCAAGCTTGAGTCTTGGCCACTATCAAGTCAATCACGCGTGAACTGCAAAAATGGGAATCATCAATCAGCTGCGCATCCTTCAAACCTTTTGGAGAAGACAATTGCAAAGGTACCATGAATGCTACAAATCGGGAAAGGAAGGGGGAAATGTACCTGTAGCCCCATTCATTGTCATACCAAGAGACAAGTTTGACGAAGTTATCGTTCAAAGCAATTCCAGCCTTGGCATCGAATATGCTTGACCTGCATAAAGCACAACCATTAGATTCAATACAAAGAAAGCATGTATTCAGGCCAGCACAATCCACATGGTCTACGAAGACAACATCACAGCCTTTTCCTTTACCTGCTGTCACCAATGAAGTCAGTAGACACCATATCCTCTTCAACGTAACCCAGAATACCCTTGAGGTTATTCTCAGACTCCTCCCTGGAGACCATCAAGGTAAACAAATAAAATCAGAATATAAATAAGCTAGAAGATTCTGACTAGAAGATCATTCTAACAAGCACTTACTTGATAGCAGATTTGATAGCCTCGTATGTTGCCTTCTTCTCAAGCCTGACAGTGAGGTCAACAACAGAGACATCCACAGTAGGAACACGGAAGGACATTCCAGTCAATTTTCCATTAAGTGCTGGCAGAACCTTTCCAACAGCGTATGAGATTT